GTTTTTCCCAAGTGTAACTGTGTATCTTTTATGTGTGTTTTTGTTTTTTCTGTTTTTGTAAGATTTAAACAAAATTTCGCTGTAAAAACTACTTGGGGGAGTACTTGAATCATTCGTTTGTACTCATTCACATTCACATTCACATACGAGAACGAGTGCGAGTACGAGTGCGAGTGGATGGGGGATTTGTATCTGCATCTGGGGGGATCTTTAGATGTGTCTGTGTGGGGGATTGGCATAAAATATGACTGAATAATATAAAACAGAAGGCGATACATCAAAGGGGATTATACAATTTATTCCGTTTCTGGCCGTTTGCTGGCCTTTTTTTTATTTTTATCCGCGCTGCTGGGGGGAGTGCGGGGGGAGTGGGGGGGATCTTCGTCTTCTTTGGTTTATTTTTCCGTTTCGGAAAATATATTTTCTTCAATTTTTCTTCATTTTTATTTTATTTATTTACTTTTCTGGAGCACAAGATTTTTGTATACAAATCGCAGGCTGCCCCCCGGCCCCCTGGCCCCACCACATACATAGATGCAACAGATGCAACACACAAAATATTCTTTTCGAGGCCCTCTGGCAAATGTATCTTTGTATCTGCAGGCAGAGGCGCATGCTGTTTGGCCGCCATAATAAATTTTCGTATTATTTATATTATTTTTATTCCCAGACGAGGCAGGCCCCTACCCTGCTGCCACAAGGGCGGAAGTGTTGCAGGAGGGACGCGGAGGGACGCAGGGGGACGCGGAGGGGCAAGGTGACGAGTGTAATGACTTTTGTCGATTGGTTTAAGTGGCCATCTTCCATCTTCTTCTTGCCTCTCGTGTGCCTCTTGTGTTGCAGATTCCTTTCTTTCGAGTTGCATATGCAATGCCCCCAGCCCCTTGCCTTTGTGCCCTTCCTGCCCCTTTGGTCTCTTCCCTCTCTTTCTCTTTCTCTTTCCTTTGATTGTTGGCCTTTTTTCTATACCTTTTTTACTTCACCTTTCTTGTTTTTTGTGTTGTTGTTGCTGCCGCTGAAGTAGTTTGAATGTGGCACGTTTGTGCTGCTGCCACTTAATGCTGCCGCTGCCGCTGCTGCCTCACTTTCCTAATACCCTTCTGAATGCTCCGATTTGGAACAAAGACAAGGATGTAGCTCGAAATATCTTCCCTCATCGCTCTTTAAAGGGTATTCCCCTGTTCGGGGCAGCCAGAGAGCCAGAGATCCAGTAATTTGTCTACAGCGTTTTTTTTCTTCTGTTTCGGTTGCACTTTTTTTTTTTGGGAGAACCGCACGCTAATCGTGAAATGTGAGAAAAGGGACTCGGAAATCGGGAATCGAGAATCGGGACTCCTTGCCACTCGGTTGCGCCCTCATCTTGTGGCTAATTGAGCTGCTTAGAGCAGAGTGTGGCATCGATGGGAAAGTTGAAATCGAAAGGGAATTCGGGTGGGAAAAAAGTGTGCGGGTTTTCGGTTTTCGTTAAACAATTAACAAACAAAACAAAAATATACCGAATATTGATTTTGTCCCAACAAAAAGTAACTTCTTCGGCGTCCACCTCTCTGAAGATCTCCAGCGGAGATGTGGCAAAAAGTTCAGTGAACCGCGCCGATCGATACCCGTGATCCTCCGACATAAAGAAGGAAATAAATAATAATATACAACCTCTAATGATGCTGCACACACACACACGCACACCTAAAGATACATTTTGAATGCATGGGGCAGATACCGATTTAAATGCATCGGGCAATAAAATATGAAGAACAAAAAAATGAATTCAGAAATAAAAAATGATTTTTAACAAAGGAAAACGTTCGCCGTGGCACTGCACAGACACACACACACACACAGACAAATAAAGTGCAATTAATCACCAGAAAACCAAAGCACAAGATACAGATACATATATTCTGGAACGTACAGCGGACAGGGGCCGTGGGGGGCTGGAGAGGGGGGAATAAGACCCTGGAGACCCAGAGACTCTCCTCCTGACACTTATCGGCTTTATCAGTGGCTTTATGTGGCATCAAAAGAATGAGAAATAAAATCGAAAATAAATACACACACACACACACACACACACATGCATAGCGAAGAGTGTGGCAAGTCGTACACTGGAAGAAAATGGAAAGCATTTCACGTGTGGATCGTTGGACAGTAAATTCATGATCCCAAAAATCCCTCAAAATGTTGGACTGAACAATATTTCTTAAAAAAAATATGGGAATTTTTTTTGTTATGGAAATTTTTATTAAAAGATTTTTATTTGTTGATTATAGTTAGGATTAAATTCTAGAAAATTATAGAATTTCAGAAAAATTTAGTTTTTTAATTAAAGTTGTAAAAAAAAATTCCAGAAAATTTTGGAATTTCAGAATTTTAATTTTTTGATTAAAGTTATACAAAAAATTCTGGAAAATTTTTAAATTTCAGAAAATTGTATTTTTTTGATTAAAGTTATGAAAAAATTATAGAAAATTTTAGAAGTTTTAGAAATTTTAGAATTTTAGAAAAATTTATCTTTTTGATTAAAGTTAGGAACAAATTCTGGAAAATATTAAAATTTCAGAAAAATTTATGTTTTTGATTAAAGCTATGAAAAAATTCTAGAAAATTTTAGAAAATTTAAAAGTCTAGAAAGATTTATATGTTTGATTAAAGTTAGAAGCAAATACTAAACATTTCAAGAAAAATTTTAAAATTTTAGAATTTTTTTTTTTTTTTTGATTAAAGCTATGAAAAAAGTCTGGAAAATGTTTGTTTGTATAGAAAAAATTCAGGAATATTCGCTTCCAACAACAAAAAATTGTATTGGAGGCTTTGGGGTGTGGGAGGTAATCGAAGTGAGGAAATTCCCAGCTGATATTACAAAAATATCATGGAAATACTTAAATATTGCTTCGATTAGTTCAAAATGTAGATTTTCCGAGTTAAAATCATTAAAAAATGCATAGAAATATATATTATTGAAAATTCCATGAAAGAAAGTCTTTTTTTTGGTCCCATTCGATGTGGAAATATAATCCTAGGCTAAGATTTTTTCTCTCAGTGCACAAATAAATGCAAGAGAATTATAAAATATTAAAAGAAGAATCTGCAAAGCGGACGGATGGATGGATGGCTGGATCATGGGGGGTGGAGGGGTGGCGGGGAATCGAAAGAGGCAAACAGATAGAAAGAGAAGGGAATACGAGGATCTGTTGGCTGCTGTCAATATTTGATTTTTATATATGGCTTGGGCTCTGCTGCAGGAGGAGAAGGAGGGGGGTGCGGTGCCGATCGCGGCATCAATTTTTAATAATAAATGAAATGAAATGGAATGGAATGAAATGTGTGAAGAATGAAGGAGAGAGAACAATCGGAAAGGCAAACACAGCAGGAAAGCAGGAAAGCATAAACATGGCCAACACCAACAACACCAACAACACCACTAATACGAATGCAAACAAAAACAAAACACACACACACACAGACACACACACAGAAAAATGCAGATATGGAAAGGTGCCGCTGCAATGCATTTTCCAAAGAATTTCCACAGGCACATAAAAAGCAAAGCAAACGACTTCGACTCGGAGTCGAAGTCGAAGTCGAAGTCCCCTCTCGAGCGTTGGAAAAATATTTAAAAAACCATAAAAACAAAATATTTATTGAAAAGAGATGCTAACGAGAAGAAGACACCAAAGAGTGCAGCGGAGGAGAAGCACAAGACGAAGAAGAAGAAGAAGAATGAGTTGAAAAACAAAATATGAAAAATCTGAACGGTCGAAAGGGAAGGACGGGAGGGGGGAAACAACAAACAAACGTCTTGAAAAATTGAACATATGAGAGGATGAAGAGGAGGAGCGGGAGGAGGGGGAGATGCTAATGCATTCATACCTCTACCCAGGGCTCTCCCTCCCCCCTCCCCACCGCCATTTGCTGTTTGATTAATGCACTCGAAAGCGACAATAAACACGGAAGAGAGGGGAGTGGCGAGGAGTGAAAGAGTCCCCTGCACCGTGCCCCTTTCTGCAGGTTCCACAGATCGCTCTCTCTCGCTCTCCCCGCCACAGAATCCAGAGACAAACAAATATTGCATTCCAATGGTCAAGCGATTGATGTCAGACGCGACTCTGGGGAATGGGAATCGGAATGGGAATGGAAATGGGGACTTGTCTTGTGGCAGGGATACAGAGTGCCAGAGATCCAGGCAACTCTCCCTCTCTCTCTGTCTCTCGTGCCCGTCGACGTCTATTAGATAAATAAATACAAATTTTTATTAAAGTGCGAATTCTGTGGTGCGGCCGAGCCTGCGATGGGAGAGCGGAAGAACCGGTTAATCGATCCACTGTAAGGCCACTAATTGAAGCACACTTATGGATCCATGAAATCGGAATCGAAAGATCTATCGACCGCAGGGCCACAGGAATTTGCAATCTTCGAGCCACACAGAATAGCAACCCCCCAACCCCCGTCCCCCGCACCAAATGTGGCACACACAGAAAGAGAGAGAGAGAGAGGGAGAGGGAGAGGCGACGACAATGAAGCGACGTGAAGCACGTGAATGCTGTCAATCATGAGAAGGCCTGCGACAAGCCACCCCCCACCACACCCCCCTCTATACATTCCACACCAACGGCAGTGACGTCACGACTGAGGCAGCGAAATGCCGCCGGCAGAATTTTCGTAGTCGAATTCGGAAATAAAAATCCCAACCGAAAGGCGCGCGAAACGTGAATCAAAACAAACGATCGAGAGAGCGAGGGAGAGCGGGAGAGCGAAAGAGAGCGAGAGAGTGAAGCAGCGCTGTGACTGCGCAGCAGCAGCGCATGGGCAGCGAAAGAGAGCGGCGAAAACGATCGACGGCGAATTGAAAAGTCGCTCTCTTTTCGTGTTTTGTGAATGAATTGCAAAGAAACGTAAAGAGAGCCGAGCGGAGAGCGGAAAGAGCTGTCAAGAGAGAGAGAGAGGGGAAGGGGCGGGTGTGGGGGCGGGGGCGGGTGTACAGTTAAAGCAAATGATCGACTCACCCTCTCTTCCTCGCGTATCATTTCCGCTATTCCCGGCTTGATTTCCATGTCATCGGCCAGCGATGAGCCCGAAGGGCCGACGCCCTGGGATCCCACTCCTCCTCCTCCTCCTCCGCCTCCCACGCCCTGCGAATGATGGTGGGGCGGCGGCGGCGGCAGGCGTGGCTCGGCAGGCGGCGGCAGGCCACTCAATTCCATGGCAGCGGCCATTGCTGCGGCGGTGGGTCCCAGCGGATAGCGCGACTCCCCGGCAGGGGAGGCGCCCGCCGAGGACACGCCGTGCTGCGAGGAGACCGGCGACAGGCCGAGGTGCTGTGCGTGCGAGTGATGCGGAGGCACAGGTGGCATATGCAACGGATGCTGCTGCTGCTGCTGCTGCTGCTGGTGGTGGTGTTGCTGCGGGCTGGGGGCCAAGGCACGCGAGGATCGCGGGCCTGGGGTGGCCGCTGGCGAGGGCATATCCAAGCCATGGATGGCCGACTCCAGGGCGGGAGTGAGGCGTCTCGGGGTGCCACCGCCACCGCCACCGCCGCCGCCGCCGCCTCCTGCTCCCTGCAACTGCGGCTTGGGCGGTGGCGTCATCAGGGAGCAGTCCCTCTGGCGCTCCCTCTCCTTCTGCTCGAGCTCCAGCCGCTCGGCGGCGATCAGGCTGCTCAGCGGACTGGCGGGCGGATTGAAGATCGTGTCGGCCGATGGCCATCGTCGCTTGCGGACATTCCTGCCCTGCTGCCGCTCCAGCGGGGAGAGCCGCAGCTCGAGATTGCCCCCCGCCGTGGAGACGGCACTGGTGCCGCCCGAGGAAGAGGGATGATAGTCCCAGTCGCCGCGCAGCTTCTTCTCCGGCTGCATGAAGGCCAGCAGCTCCTCTGCCTCCCTCTGCTCCACTGTGTCGCGGTGGGTTGCCTCCTTGTGGGAGTCGCGTGCCTCCGAGGCGGCCGCTGCCGCCGCCGCCGTGGCCGCCTCCATGTGGGTGACATCCGCCAGGCCGCGGACCTTCAGCATCTCGGCGATCCGCAGCAGCGGACCGATCTGATCCTGGCTGACGTTGATCTCCCCGCGATACATGAACTCCACGATGGCCTTGAGATCGCCCCACGATACGTCGCGCATGATGACGATCGGGTGCTGGCAGGGCGTCTCCGCCAGGAGGGTCTGGAAGTACGGCGAACAGGCGGACAGCACCATTTTGTGGGCCTTCATCGAGCGGCCGTCGCAGGCGAGCGTCACGTCCACGAAGCACTCGTTCTGCAGCAGCTGATCGAAGATCGTGGTTAGATTCGACTGGTAGTTGTTCCACCGCAGGCAGAACTGTTGCGACGACGGCGTGGACGGCGGGGAGCCCGAGGCGGAGGGCGACCCGGCCACAGGTGACGATGATCCTCCGGGGCCTGCGGTTTCTTCATTGGATGCTCCTGCTCCTCCTCCTCCTCCTGGTGCTCCTCCCCTCTCCTCCGATCCTCGGCGATCGTCGGCGTGGAGCGTTGTGGGGGAGCTGCGATTGCTGCCCCCCTGTTGGGGGGAGAGTGTGCCGCCACTGCGTTGCCTCTGGGCGGATTGGGCCTGCTCGGCGTTGGACTGCGGGTCATTCTCGGTGCTGGCCCGTTCCGCGTCGAGCTGCACCTCCAGTGAAGCCATTTTTTCAGTGTTTATCGAACTATCGATAGTTATCGATTAACGATCTAAACGCGCGTTTATCATTCACATTGCACTGGCGAGTGTTGCATGTAAATGTATCTCGATCTTGTCTCAAGTATCTGTGTATCTGTATCTGTGTACGCTTGTATCTGTGTGGGTGTATCTGTGTGTGTGTGTATCTGTGTTACGTTACGTTACGTTACGCGCACTACGTAAAGGTCCCCCGCTTTTAGGCAATTAGTTTTTTGTCTGCCACTCGCCTCGTGCCACACACACAACTAGTCTGTGTTTCTATGTTTCGTACCAACAAAATGCCGGCTGTTGCCTGCCCCGTGTGGCGCTGTGGTTAGTGGATTGCTGTGTGTGTGTGTGTGTATTGGCCAACAAACAGGGCCAAAAGTCTTCTCAGCACGAGCGTCTGAATTAGACTGAAATCGTTTTGCACATTTCGATACGGAAAAACTCAAAACAAAACTTAAACACACACAGAGGCAGCGGCAACCAGAGGCGGCAACACACAGAGGCATGCGGCACACACGACGACGACGACGACGACGGCGACTCCGACGACGGCGACTCCGACGACGACGACGACTCCGACGACGTCCACGTTCACCGTCCACGACCACGACGATGGGGAGACGACGATGGGCAACGACGATGATGATGATGATGGGGAGACGTGTGCCTGAATCGCGGTGTTTGGTGCCTCTGTTGTCTGTTGCTGCCACACCGGCTCTGTCAGTAGTTGTAGTTGTTGTGCCGCCGCCGCCGCCGCTGAGCTTCCTCGCGTTGCAAATGCGAATTCGCTGAGGCACTGCCACTGCCAGCGACAAAGTTCGCGAGAGTCTCCTCCGCTCTGCCAAGGAAAAGCAGCAGCAACGACACGAAAATATGATGCGGAGAGCAGCAGCAGCAGCGGCAGCGACAGCGACAGCGACAGCGGCAGTCGGAGGCGCCAAAAAACGCCGGCTCCAAACGTTGCATTCGCATTCGCATTCCTTTGCTCGGATAAACGACTCGGTGCGGCGCCACCGACTCGGACTCGGACTCGGACTCCAACTCGAACTCGTCCTCGTCCTCGGCCTCGGCCTTCGTGCAACCCCCAAAAAATGAGGCATCGGCAGCGGCCGCGGCAGCGGCAGCACCCATACAGCGAGATGCAAGTTTGCAAGAGGCACAGTCAATGCGATGCGTGTGCCTCTTCTCTCTGTCTGTGTGTGTGTGTGTGTGTGTGTGTGCGTGAGGAAACGGAAGTTGCCCCCGAAAATGCAGAGAGCAATGTGGCATGGCGTCGCTTAGGCCTGGCAGGAAGCCGCGAATGTCAGATCTTTCGTTTCATTCCCCTCCAATTAGCATCTCTTCGATCTTCACTCTTTCTCGCTCACTTTCCTTGTGACTCTCTTTCGCCGTGCTCTGCGCCAAAGAAAAAGATTCGCCAACCTGAAACGATTCTCCATTAATTAGTTCCGTTTGCTGCCACCCACCCACCGTCCACCGCCCACCGCCCACTCTCTTGCCCGCTTTGGCTCTGGCTCTCGCTCCGGCACTCGGCGGCGGCAGCGCAGCCAGCGTCGGCGCTCGCGTCGTCATAGTCGTCGTTTATTGTAAACAAATGCTTAGGCGAAAAAGATGAGAGACGACCGACTGCCGACGAGCGACTACCGACGACCGACGACGACGACGACGACGACGCGAATTCGCCGCAGTCTTTCGTTTCGTTTTCGTTTGCTCTCTTTGGCTCTGCTGCTCTTAAGAGAAGCGCCGCAGCCGCTGCCTGGCTGCACCTGCAGTTTTTGGGCTAGCAACTACTTTTTTTTCTGCTGCTTCTTTTTCTGTTCTCTCGCTCTGGCCGAAAGGGAGTGGGGCTGGGGCAGGGGCAGGGGGGCCGACTGATGGCTGAGACTGGTCAGATATTCGCGTTTGGGTGTGTGTGTGTGTGTGCTTGGGTGTGTGTGTGTGTGTGTGTGTTCGTGTTTGAATTGCATTTGTAGTTTTTGTGATTATTGTTTTTGCCTTGCGCATTTATAATATGCATAAAAAATAAAAAGAAATACGAAAAATCCAGCAAAATATATGCCAGAAAGAGATGAAGATACTCGTACAGAGCGAGCGAGTGCGGTATAGGCAAAGGTAAAGGTACGAAAGAGAAAGAGAAAGAGGCGGCCACGGAGGCGAGGCTGCCGCTGCCGCTGCTCCGAAGCTTCGGCCAGTCATAAATTATGCATAATTTTTTCGTGACTGGCAAATGGCGGCATCTCGGGGATACATTATAATAATAAACAGCACCGCAGAGCAAAGCACAGCACAGCAGAGCACAGCACAGCGCTCTGTGGCCATGGAATCATCGGTGGGGCAGCGAGGGGCTGGTGGCGGTGGGGCAACAAAATGATCAGAATGTATTTTCCGATCAACGCGCGACATTCAACGATAATTGACTTTGGCAACATTTGATGGAGCCCGAGAGAGACGGGGAAAGAGAGATACTTTGCACAGTATTCAGTTTTTAGATACAGATACAAAAGATGCTTTTTGCATGTGAGGTGAGAGGGAGATACTTTTTGAAGATACTTTCGCAGCGCCTTAGAATTCAAAGTTGCTCGAAAAAGTCTCCATCTTTGTACCTTTATCTTTAGATACTATTTATACCTCGAGATACTTTTTGTACCTTTAGACACTTTTTGTATCTTTGGATGATTTTTGTATCTTTAGATACTTTTTGTATCTTTAGATACTTTTTTACCTTTAGACACTTTTTGTATCTTTAGATACTTTTTGTAACTTTGGATACTTTTTGTATCTTTAGATACTTTTGGTACCTTTACATACTTTTTGTACCTTTAGATACTTTTTGTACCTTAAGATACTTTTCGTATCTTTAGATACTTTTGGTATCTTTGGATACTTTTTGTATCTTTAGATACTTTTGGTACCTTAACATACTTTTTGTATCTTTGGATGCTTTTGGTATCTTTAGATGCTTTTTGTATCTTTAGATGCTTTTTGTACCTTTAGTTACTTTTTGCCCTTGTTTGTTGTCGAGATACTTTTGCATCTGCTGCGTGCCTAAAGATAGTTTTCTTTTTGTCTTCTATCTAAAGATACTTTGTATTTTTGCTGTATCTTGAGATACTTGCTTTGCCACTTTTGTATCCTGATTACCCTTTTTTGCATTCCAAGACACTTTTGTATCTTATTGTGCCTAAAGATAGTTCTTACATCTTTTTGTGTCCAAAGATACTTTTTTATTTTTATTTTGGAGATACTTTTTGCATCTTGTTTTAAGCCCAACATAATTTTGTATCTCTTTCCATACAAAGATACATTTGAATCCTTCTTTGGAGTCTAAAGGCACCGTCTTGGTGCCCCGTATTCGCCACCACTGGCGCTGTGCCTGCCCCACTGTGCCGCCCGCCCTCAGCTTCGCTGCTTGCAACAAATGAATTGCAGCAAATAGCAAACAGAATTTGGATCAAACACCGAAAGACCGAAACACCGAAACTGCAGCAACTGCGCGCATTTTCCAAGTTGTTTGTTGTATGCCACATTCCACTCCCCGCACTCCCCGCACTCCCCGCACAGCCCCGCCCGATGCTCCCCCACCGTGAAAGGGAGGGGCAAGGCGTACGGCTGCTGCTGCAGAGCGCGTTTATACGAGAATTTATGTATTTAACTGGTGACGACGACGCTGACGAGCAAAACGATGACGCGGACGTGAAAGGACATGGAAATGGACACACACAGGACACACAGGAGCGTGGAGCGAGGAGCGGGGAGCGGGGATGTGGAAACGCATGATGCTGGTACAAAAAAGCGACGAAAGCCTATGCGACAAGAGGCAGTCGCCAGTCGGAGTGTGGGCTGTGCCGGGGGGTGTGGCGTGTGGCATTGGGGGGGGTGGGGGAAAGATGACAACATTTGAACCAAACAACAGACAAAGTTTCAGAGGCGCGGAACCAGCGGCAGGGGCAGGGGGCCTCAGCGGACAGTGGGAGACGGTCGACGGTCGACTGTCGACTGTCTGACCCCGTGGCTCGCTGCGAAGCACTGAAAAAAATGATGTTTCTCCACCGGGATGTTCCCCTAAGCGAACGGCTTCTGCAAATACATTTTCCCCTTCATGGAGGCATCCCAAAGATAGGCCTCCCAAATCGATCTGCTTTGAGCTGCCGTTCGAAGTGTATCTTAATTTTTTCAAGTGCAGAATGATGCTCAAGCGATGTGTGTTGCATGTGGAGGTGACCAAACGTACACAAGTGTGTGGCAGCAACAGCAGCAGCTGAGGAAGCGCCAAAAGAAGAAGGAGGGTTGGTTGTGGCACGACTACGACTGTGGTACGACCCAAAGGGGAGGATCAGCGGCAAAAAATGTTGCATATTAAAACGGCAAATAGAACAGTGCAACAGCGGACAAGGGACAGCGGACAACGGATAGCAACCTCCACGGCTGCAGCTTAGAGAAATGCAGAGAAAGCGGCACAACCCTTTGCTGCTTCTGGGGCATGGGGCTTGGGGCATGGGGCATGGGGCATGGGGTCGCTGTTGTTGTTTTGTCCACCTTCCACCGTTGTCTAAAAGTTGGCTTACACACAAAAGCGATGAGCGATGATGCCTCAAATATGCAAAAATGCCTAGCGCAATAAAACGTAGCGCCCCCGAGGGCCACACGGGCATCGGCGGCTGGGGCAGCGGCAGCGGCAGCGGCAGAGAGGCAATGAAAAAGGGCTTACCCCACTCCAAACCGGAGTTAGAGATGGAGCTGAAGGCTGAAGGCTGACCATCGGGGGGTTGCAGTTTCGTTTCGTTTCGTTTCGTTCTGTTCTAAAATCCACAAAACGAACTTTGAAATGCAGGCGCAGGACCTCGAACGTCGCGCTGCTGCGTTGCTAACGATGCCACCAACGCCGCCGACGCCGCTGGGCTGTCTGATTGGATTGGGGCATGGGTCTGGGGGCATGGTGCTGGGTGGGCAAAAACTAGCAGGCGGGTGTGGCATGGTGT